TGTAGGTGAACTATAAATCCCAGCAACTACAACTCCCAAATGTCATGGTCTATTTTTCCCAAACTCCATATTTGGGCATATTGAGCATTCATGCCAAATTTGGTCCAGATCCACAATTTTGTGCGTCCACAGTACTCTCTGGAAGTAGGTGAACTACAACTCCCAAACTCAAGGTCAATGCCCACCAAATCCTTCCAGTATTTTCTGATGGTCATGAGAGTTCTGTGTGCCGATTTTGATTAAATTCCCTCATTGGTGGAATGCAGAATGCTCTTTGATTGTAGGTAAACTATAAATCCCAGCAACTACAACTCCCAAATTACAAAATCAATCCCCCCCCCCCAACCACACCAAATCTGAGCATATCTGGTATTTGTGCCAAATTTGGTCCAGTGAATGAAAATACATTCTGCATATCAGATATTTACATTATGATTCATAACAGTAGCAAAATTACAGTTATGAAGCAGCAATGAAAATAATTTGGTTGGGGGTCACCACAACATGAGAAACTGTATCAAGGGGTCGCGGCATTAGGAAGGTTGAGAACCACTGATCTACAGTGTAGAATTAATGCAGTTACTGTTATCGCTCAATGCTATGGATCCTGGGATGTGAAGTTTAGTGAAACACCAGTGTTCTTTGGCAGGGAGGGCTAAAGACCTTGTAAAACTACAACTCTCAGAATTCCAAAGCACTGAGTCATGGCAGTTAAAGGAGTGTCACACTGTGCTAATTCTCCCATGCAGATGTACCCTCTGCATCACATTCCTGGCGCAAGACATTTGCTTACTGAAGGAAAGAACAAAAATCCACTCATGTACAAACACTGACTGGATCAACCATTGACTCAATCTATAGGTTTGGTAATTTTTCTAAGCTCCGATACAGCTGTATAATAATTTGCTACTTTATTATCAAGTTTGATTGCATCTGATACAAAGGGGCTAATGCCACAGTCAGTGCACTATCTTTAATGTGCCATGAGATTGTTTCTCCAAAACACAGTATATTCCAATAGCCCATTCCAGTATGCATGTTATTCATTTATTTTTCAGAGCAAATATACTGTATATCACAAATATGAGGCACATGCCAGAATCCTACAATGATAAGTGATTTACTTCAAAAGTACCTCTGTGGCTTCGTGATGTACATGGAGTTTTAAAAACAAACAGTATTGTTACATTAGTTTCAAGCATGCATGTTTTCAAAATAAAATTATAACATACCGTATGCACATGTATCTTTCATATTATTCTGTATCCTGCAGATGCTACTAATTAAATACTAAATTTCCCATATTGTAGCACTCTTTTCATCTCCTTTTTTGTGTAAGTTTAACTGCCAAACACAGGCCCCTTCTACACGGCCAGATAAAATCCAGATTATCTGCTTTGAACTGGATTATATGGCAGTGTAGACTCATAATCCAGTTCAAAGAAGATAATGTGGATTACCTGCTTTGATAATCTGGATTATATGGCAGTGTAGAGTCATATAATCCAGTTCAAAGCAGGTAATGTGGATTACTTGTTTTGATAATCTGGATTACATTGCAGTGTAGACTAATGTAATCCAGTTCAAAGCAGATAATGTGGATTACCTGCTTTGATAATCTGCATTATATGACAATATAGACTCATGTAACCAAGTTCAAAGCAGGTAATGTGGATTATCTGCATTGATAATCTATTTTCTATGGCAGTGTAGAAGGGACCAGATTCTTCATGCATGTCAGCTGTTACAGACTATCAAAACTAAATTGTGAGGCAGGTATCAACTTTGGTCAAATAAAGGCTGTTTTTATATTTCAGATGGCTAATCCTGAGTGCTATTGCTTCTTCACACTGTTGTCATATCCATTTTCTACAATTATCCTGTTCCAGGTATTGTTCGACTGCAGTTCTCATTAACCCTAATCAGCCTAGCCAATGGGGATGGATAATGGGAGCTACAATCCAATAAAATCTGAAGGGCAACTCACTACCCCCTCCCTTGGTCCTATTGCTTGTGAGGTATCTTATTATCTGCTTTCTACACTGGCACAATGGCCGAAAGCGAGCAGGAGCTAAGGAGCCTTCTAATCAAGGTGAAAGAAGAAAGTACAAAAGTTGGGTCGCAATTAAATATCAAGAAAACCAATATTCTGGCAACCAGACTGATTGATTACTGGCAAATAAAAGGAGAAAACGTGGAGGCCGTGACAGACTTTGTATTTCTAAGTGCAAAGATTACCGCAGATGCAGGCTGCAGCCAGAAAATCAGAAGACGTTTACTTCTTGGGAGGAGAGCAATGTCCAATCTCGATAAAATAGTGAAGAGTAGAGACATCGCACTGGCAACAAAGATCTGCATAGTAAAAGCAATGGTGTTCCCCGTAGTAACCTACAAATGTGAGAGCTGGACCACAGGGAAGGCTGAGAGAAGGAAGATAGATGCTTTTGAACTGTGGTGTTGGGGGAAGATTCTGAGAGTGCCTTGGACTGCCAGAAGATCCAACCAGTCCATACTTCAGGAAATAAAGCCCGACTGCTCATTGGAGGGAAGGATAGTAGAGGCACAGATCAAGTATTTTGGTCGCATCATGAGAAGTTAGGAAAGCTTAGAGAAGACAATGATGCTGGGGAAAATGGAAGGAAAAAGGAAGAGAGGCCGACCAAGGGCAAGATGGATGGATGGGATCCTAAAAGTGAAGGCTTGACCTTGAAGGACCTGGGGGTGGTGACGGCCGACAGGGAGCTCTGGCATGGATTGGTCTATGAGGTAATGAAAGTTGGAAGTGACTGAATGAATAAACATCAACAACAAACACTGGCACAAAAGGTTTAGTCTCGTTGTCTATGGGTACTATTTGTTTTCGATGGGGTTCTCTACATTGCCAAGAAGTTCAAAGCAACACTGAAAACAAGTTACAAGCTATAGCATAAAAGAGCAGCATGGAAACATAGCTGAGTAAAGTACAGATTGAGTATTCCTTATCTGGAAATCCAAAACTGTCCACATGGAGGACTGAGATAGTGATATTTTTGCATGCTGATAGCTCAGTGTTCGGAAATATTGTTGTGATCGGATACTGTTCTTAACAAGGAGTTCCTATTGATATATGTTTTTACTGTTTCTGTTACGGTTTTATATTATCTTATTGTTTTTATTGTATTGTAATTGTATTTTATGGTCTTGTACCGACTGTAAACCGCCCCGAGTCACCTGCAGGCTGAGAGGGACAGTATATAAATATAGTAAGTAAATAAATAAATAAATTCACGCACAAACTTATTAAAAACAATGTATATAAAATTACCGTGAGTCTATGTGTAAAAGATTCATGTAAAACACAAATGAAAGTCCTGCTTAGACTTGGGTCTCATTATATGTACCAGTGTATGCAAATACAGGTATTCTGAAATTCAAAAACAAAACCCAAATCCCAAATATTTCTGGTCCTAAGCATTTAGAGTCATGGTGGTGCAGCAGGTTAAACCACAAAGCTGCAGAACTTTCTAACCATAAGGTTGGCACTTCAGATCTGTGGAATGGGGTGAACTCCCACTGTTAGCCCCAGCTTCTGCCAACCTAGCAGTTTGGAAACATGCAAATGTGAATAGATCAATAGGTACCGCTTCGGCGAGAAGATAATGGCGCTCCATGAAGTCATGCTGGCCACATAACCTAGGAAGCGTCTATGGATGCCTGCTCTTTGCTTTAGAAATTGAGATGAGCACCACACCCGAGTTGGAGTCAACTAGACTTAATGTCAAGGGGAAACCTTTACCTTTACTAAGCCTGTACCTTCAAGTTATGTTCATACGGTATATATGAAATGTAGCTGAATGTTGTGTTCAGCCTTAGTGGCTGCAGGGGGAAAAGGAAGGGGCCCGAGGTTGTTAGGAATGGTGAGAGTTGAAGTCCAAAACACCTGAAGTTTGCCAAGGCCTGGTCTAGGACGATGGTAATGATGATATGAAACATTTCATATTAGGACTAAGAGATCTCCTCATATAACCACAGAAGCAAGGAGTTGGGAGGGACTACAAGGAGCACCCAATCTGTTTTGTGGGTGCTTTTTGATCATTCTTTCGCTTCCGACTCATTGTGACCTCATGGATCAGCCCACGCCAGAGCTCCCTGTCTGCCTTCACCACCCACAACTCCTTCAAGGTCAAGCCAGTCACTTCAAGGATTCCATCCATCCATCTTGCCCTTGGTCGGCCCCTCTTCCTTTTTCCTTCAATTTTCCCCAGCATCGTTTTCTCTAAGCTTTCCTTTCTTCTCATGATGCAGCCAAAATACTTGTGCCTCTACTATCCTTCCCTCCAATGAGCAGTCAAGCTTTATTTCCTGGAGGATGGACTGGTTGGATCTTCTGGCAGTCCAAGGCACTCTCAGAATTTTCCTCCAACACCACAGTTCAAAAGCATCTATTTTCCTTCGCTCAACCTTCTTTATGATCCAGCTATCACATCCGTAGGTGACTATGGGGAATACTATTGCTTTGACCATGTGGATCTTGGTTGCCAGTGTGATGTCTCTACTCTTCACTATTTTATCAAGATTGGTCATTGCTCTCCTCCCAAGAAGTACACGTCTCCTGATTTCCTGGCTGCAGTCTGTGTCTGCAATAATCTTTGCACCTAGAAATACAAAGTCTTTCACGGCCTCCACGTTTTCTCCATTTACGTGTTATCAATCAGTCTGGTTGCCATAATCTTGGATTTTTTGTGGGTGCAAATATAGCAAAACCAAAACACTTCTGGTCCCAAGGGCTATTCAACTAGTAGGCGTAGGCACACGCTGTGGAAGCAGGCAGAGCGGGAGAGTGCAATGCCCGCTGCCGTCGCTAGAGGGCGCTGAACCTTGGGCGTCTATGGTCGCCTGCCTGGCTCCTGGCTCGGTCAAGGCTGTGGCCTCGCCCTCCGCCCTCCCGCTCGCCGACGAAGCAGGAAGGGGGAGGGTGCAGTAGCGGGGAGCGAGGCGCCGGGAAGCGGAGCGAGGCTCATCCCTTTCTTTCCCGACGCGGAGGCGAAGAGGAGAGAGGCTGCCGGGCGGGAAGGGCGCGGCTCGCCCCAGCGGAGGGTGAGCGAGCGAGTGAGTGAGTGGGCGTCCATCCGGGTCTTAAGGGCGCGCGGGGGGGGGATGAAGTTTGGAGGAGCGCGGGGCAGGGAGGGAGGGGGGGAGGAGGCCGAGTCTCACCCGCTGTGCACCTCCTCCCCCAACAGCCCCGTCCACTTGGCAAAGTGGAGGGAAATTCGAAGCAAGAGGATTCGGATTTGGGCGCCCTTGGCTTCCTCCCTGAGCGGTCTGCTTCGGTTGCCATCCGACTTGCTGGGCCCTCCCCAAAACACAAGCCCCAAGACTCCATATCACTGAGCCAAGGCCATCAAAGTGTTGCCAAACGGCATTCATTCTAAACCAGGCAGGGGCAAACTTTCTAAACGCATGCCAGCACTGCCTACTAAGGGGACTGACTGTAAGAGCGGTGATGGAAGGGAAGGAGGGAGGGAAGAGGGAAGGGAGGAGGAAAGGGTGGAAGGAGAAAAAGGGAGGAAGATGAGGAAGGAAAAGAGAGAAGGAAGGACGAAAGAGTGGAAGGGAAGGGAGGGAGGGAAGAAAGAGAGAAGGATGGAAAGGGGAGGGAGAAAGGGAAAAGAGGAGAAGGGAGGGAAGAGGGAAGGACTAAAGGATGGAAGGGAAGGAGGAAAGAAAAAGAAAAGGGAGGAACAGAAGGATGGAAGGAAGGACAAAAAGGTGGAAGGAACTGGAGGGAGGAAAGGCAAAAGCGAAAGAGGGAAGCGAGAAAGGGAGGTAGGAGGAAAGGATGGAAGGAGAAAGGGAGGTGAGGGAGATAAGGAGGAAGTAAAAATAGGAAGGAGAAAAGAGTGGAAGGGGAGGGAGGAAAGAGAGATGGAAGGAAAGACGAAAGGGGAGGGAGGAAGGGAAAAGAGAGAAGGGAGGAAAGAGGGAAGGACGAAGGGGTAGAAGGGGAGGAGGAAGGACAAAGAGACTGACGAAAGGGAGGAATAGAAGGAAGGAAGGACAAAAGGTGGAAGGAAATGGAGGGAAATGAGGGAGGAAAGACAAAAGCAAAGGAGGGAAGGAAAGAGGAAAGGAAGGTAGGAGGAAAAGGTGGAAGGGAAGGATGGAAGGAGAAAGAGAGGTAAGGGAGGGAGATGAGGAAAGAAAGAGAAGGAAAGGTGGAAGGGAAGGGAGTGAGGGAAGAGAGAAGGAAGGAAAGATGAAAGGGGAGGGAAAAGGGAGGAAAGAGGGAAGGATGAAAGGGTGGAAGGGTGGAAGGGAAGGAGGAAGGAAAAAGAGAAGGTAGGGAGAAATAGAAGGATGGAAGAAAGGTGGAAGGGAAGGAAGGGAGGAAAGGCAAAGGTGAAGGAAGGATGAGAGGAGGGAGAAAGGGAAAGAGGAAAGTGGAAGGGATGGAAGGAGGGAAGGGAGGAAGGGAAGAGCAAAGAATAGGATGGTGAGAGAGAGGAGGGCCTGAGAAAAGAGCCCAAGGGGCCGCATCCGGCCCCCAGGCCTAGGTTTGCCTGTCTAGACTGTAGATGCCGCTTACCATTGGAGAACAGGATCACTTGGCTGTTGTGAGTTTTGTTGTGTGTTTTGTTCTTTCATTTTTTTTTGTACTAAAATAAGATATGTGTAGTGTACACAGGAATTTATTATGTTGTCAAAGGCTTTCATGGCTGGAATCACTGGGTTGCTGTAAGTTTTTCGAGCTGTATGGCTATGTTTCAGAAGCAATCTCTCCTGACGTTTCACCTGCATCTATTTCAGGCATCCTCAGAGGTTGTGAGGTCAACAGGGTCACTACTTGAGTCGCATACTCTCAGCCCAGAAAACTTACAGGAATAGGGTCCCAATAAGACAGAAAAGACTTAAAGGCACACAACAAGGAGGTTCATGCTCCACTCTGCTTTTCTGGAAGTGCCATGGATAAAGAATGTGGCCTTGAAAGCATGTGTTTAATCACACTCTGTATGTAACATGATTTTTGTTCTTGAATTATAAAGGTCACTTCCTAATTGGTTCTATTATAAAAACATGGAAAAATTTATTAAACTGCAAAAACTTAATTTCTGCGGGACATCCCGCAGCACATTTTGCTATAGTTTCAACAAATATCAAATAATAATAATAAACTTTATTTATATCCCACCACCATCTCCCAAAAGGGGCGGCTTGCCAGGCACGACAAGTGTAGTATATAACATAGACAGTAGAAGAGTATAAAAACATAAAAGTTATAAAAACCATCACTATTAACACATCAAATCAAATAAAAACAAAAAATGCAGTTTAAAATTCAGACCATCTGTAGTTAAACCTAGCTGCCTTCAAATCACAACTAAAGTGCCAACTTCATTTGGGCCCATATCAGCCTACTCAATATCAAAAGCCTGCTTAAAAATCCTTGTTTTTAGACTGCAATGGAAGGAGTCAAGAGTGGAGGCTAACCTAATCTCTTTTGGGAGGGTATTCCAGAGCCAGGGAGCCACTACAGCAGTGATTCCCATCTTTCTTTTTTTAACCAGGGACCACTCTCCAACATTAGTACCAAAAGGGTTATGAATCAGTTTTTGGTCAACTTTAGATTTGATTTGAGGTGCTGATTCAGCAAATTGCATTGGATAGACCATATCAGCTCTAGTTTTTGATACAGAACATATGCCTGTATCAGGGAAGGAGTGGCAGATGGCGCAAAAGGAGCAAAAATTAAATAAATAAAGGAGGAGGAGGCTCGCACACCAGATTTTCATCCTCTCAGCCCACTAGTGGTCCGCGACTGACAGGTTAAGAACCACTGCAGTACAGAGAAGGCCCTCTCTTTCATCCCCACCCTTGACTGAAAGGGAAAAGGAAGGGGCCCGAGGAGGATATTAGGAATTGTGGGAGTTGAAGTTCAAAACACCTGGAGGGCCCAAGTTTGCCCATGCCTGGTATATGTGGTGTGTGATCTGCACTGAGCAGTACCTACTACCCTCACTTTTCTTGGATGATCTTCATTCATCATTTTTCTCATCTCCTCTCACTGATCTTATGGGTCTCTTGAATCTGAACTAAAATGTGTGGCAACTATTTAAAAACATTAAGAAGTGGATCACTAAGTCTGTATTTGCGCTTCCAGAAGTCATAGTGTTCTTCAGAATGCACATTGTGCATTGAGAGCTCTGCATCCTGTTCAAACGTGTGTAGTGGCTCGAATGTTGGCCTAAAACTTCAAGAGACCAAATTTCAAATCCCCATTCAATCATGAGGTATCACTAGGTGGTCTTGATCTCTCTCATCTGTAAAATAATGCAATGGCAAACCTCCTGTAAATACATGATAAAAATTGACTATTGGTGGCTTTTTGTTATTTCAGTAGAACTTGATCTCTACACCACACAAAGTATTAGTGTTAATATTGGTTTTTAAGGAATATGTGAATCAGCTTGGCTTCCCTAAATTTAGTACAAATCTATTACTTATTCATTGTGTCAAAAGAGAATTGAGAGTAAAGTTTTCAACATATTTAAAAACGCAAGCAAAGTTCAAAATTTGGTGTTATGCTAAATGTGCTTGGACCAGAAGCTGGCCACTTGCCTCTGGTGTCGCTGTGAGAAGGTGTGTATGTGGCAGGGCTTCGGTTGCATTGTAGTAGGTGGTCTATGGTTTGCTCTTCTCCGCACTTGCATATGGTGGACTCCACTTTGTAGCCCCATTTCTTAAGATTGGCTCTGCCTCTCGTGATGCCAGAGCGCAGTCTGTTCAGCACTTTCCAAGTCACCCAGTTTTCTGTGTGCCCAGGAGGGAGTTTCTTGTCCAGTATCAGCCATTGATTGATGTTCCAGGTTTTAGCCTGCCACTTTTGGACTCTCACTTGCTGATGTGTTCCTGCAAGTATCTTTGTAGATCTTAGGAAGTTGTTTCTTGATTTTATTTGTCGTGTCAGAGCGACCAGTCCATTATATTACATTTCTAACGGAACAAAGCAAACAAACAGAAAAATACAAAACTTGTGAGTTTGGTAGTTGGTTAAATGTCCAGAAGCGACCAGCATGCAAGCAGGTTGTTTCTTGATTTAAGGCATTGGCAACCTGGCAGATATCCAAACAGAGGATGGGCCAGAGATGTCAATGCTTTGGTCCTTTCACTACAGGCTGCTGCTTTCTGACTATTACTAAAGAGATGTAACTCCTGCTGCAGTAGGTATTTCAACAATGATACTAATTTATAGTAAAGTATAAACTGGTCTTAGTTCATTTGTGAATGCTTAGTTAAAATGGATATGGGTAGAAGAATTTGACCACTTAATGATTAAAATGAACATAAATTCCTGATTGGGGGTGTTTCCCACGCCTTAATCTTCCCATGTGGAGTGTCCTCTAGGAAGTAAACCATTAATTTGGGATGGAGTGGCAATACAATACCAAACTTTATTACGGTCACTGACCAGCACAAAGTGGGGCACAAACGCTCCGGGAAAGAGAAACACAGCTGAGATGGAGTGAAATTCCTCGGATTGTAATTGTCCTTAGGACTTCATTGCATACTTGCTAGTCTAAGGACATTTTCACAGTAAAACAGGGACATTTTATACATTGGTGGCTGGTAGAGAATTTGCCTTCCCTTTAAGTTGTCAGGCATCTTGAAAATTTATATCCATTAATATGCTGATTACAGTTCTGTACTATACATTTACCTTAGCATTAGGACCACTGATCTTAGGGCCCTTCCAGAAAGGCCCTATATCCAAGGATCTGATCTCAGGTTTTTTTGTTTATTCCAGATTATCTGGCAGTGGGGACTCATATAATCAAGTTTAAAGCAGAAAACCTGGGATCAGGGCCTGTTTGAAAGGTTCCCTAGTGGGGGTGTATCATAGGTCCCTTCCACACAGCCCTATATCCCAGAATATCATGGCAGAACATCCCACAATATCTTCTTTGAACTGGGTTATCTGAGTCCACACTCAGATAATGTGGGATTTTCTGGGATATAGGGCTGTGTGGAAGGGCCCCTAGAGAGGACATAAAGCCTGCTTAAACACTCAAAAGTCACATGATTATGATTGATATTGGAAGCTAGGTAAGATC